TGAATGTGACATTTCCAGCAGGATAATCATAGGATATTTCACCCCGCTGTAAAAGTCACGCGTCTCATTCCTAGCGCTGCTGTATCATTAGCTCTCGCTGCTGCCGCCGCTTCTGTAACATTCATTCTGTTTCTGTTCCCCGTCTGAGTGTCTCCTCTCTTCTCCTGCCAGGAGCGAGTCTTCCTCACCATCTCCAACTACGTTTTCACTGCCATCTTTGTGGCCGAGATGACCGTCAAGGTAACGGCTCACCTGAGCATCTCACATTTACTTCTGCTGATCTCTACGTCAGTCATCATTGATATTCTTATAGGTTCCTTTATATCACTATTCACTAAGTACTTCCAGACAGGAAAAAAAACACCACCAGAACACCCCCATTATGAACTGACAAGAACACTCTTCCAAAACCCCTCATAAAGACTTATCAACACCCTAGCAACCACCAGAACACCCTAGCAACCATGTAGTAATGAGTGTGTAGAGGAGTGTAATCTATAACTATGCTCATCATAAACCCATCTGTTTAGGCAAGTAGATATGGATAGATTTGTCATAAAATATTTTAATACAACTGAATTTGTATTTAACATGATCACAAATGAATAAAAACATTGTACATTTGTAATTATAATGCTTTCAATTTCACAGTTGATCAAACAGTGAATAAATTATATACAGAAAGTGATGAAAGAACATTTACATTATCACATCATTGACTGTAGTCTAGCGTGAGTTAAAGCACTCTCAGAAAATTCCTGTTATAATCGGTGAAGCTGTCTGCGCTGTATAATGAATGAATCTCTAGTTACATAACACATACATCTGCACTTTGTTGATGATGAGAGAATTCAGTCAGAGAGAGCACACACTCAGCAAAATTCTGGTGTTTCAGCGATGACTCATCTGAACGCATCTGATTGGCCGCTGCATTCATAAACTCAATGGATTCGTGTGTGATTGGTTGTAATGCACAATGCTGTAAAAACGTGTAAAAATAAATATGGTGCAACACGAGCAGATGTGATGTTAATACCACAATCAACACTTTTCCATTTAATTTTTTTCCACTTTGTGACAGTTGAAATACATTTATTGTGATTGTACAGGGGCATTTTTTGTGGCGTTTTTACGTCTACATTTAATCATTTAGCAGACACTTTTATCCAAAGCGACTTACAAATGAGGACAATAGAAGCAATCAAAACCAACAAAAGAGCAATGATATGTAAGTGCTGTGACAGATCTCAGTTAGCCTAATGCAGTATACATAGCAAGGGTTTTTAAAAATATAATAAATAAAAAGAAAACAAGTAGATAGAAAAGAAAAAGACTAGGTAATGTTAGATGGTCATTTTTTTTTAAATAAAAATAATTCAAAACAATAGGACAAAAGAGAGAATGCTAGTATCAGAGGGTAATTTTTTTTATAATAATAAAAAAAAAGAAAATAAGTAGATAGAATAGAACATTTGCCCCAAGCCCCCGTTAATTTCCGAGACGTGTCCAGGGGAAGTGACAAATAAAATGCTATCACTATTTATTTTAAAATACATTGATCTTGCCATGAAAACAGGCATAGTTGCTGGTGCAGCAATCAAAATAAATAAGTCTTGGTGGTCAGTGACACTGAACTGATTCTGTTGTTTCAGCTGTTGTTTCTGTAGAAAACACATAATCTGATTGTGTTTGACTGGGAAAATGCATTCATTCACACACACACACGCACACACACCCACACACACACACACACACACACACTCACACTGATTATTTAGCTCGTTTAGATCATTTTAAAATCAGCCTTATTAGCAAATGAGCCAATGAGAGCACTGGAGACTGTCGCTGTGCATGCTGGGAGAACACTCTAGTAAATAGTCTCCAGTATAAAGCACACTCTGACTGTTGTGCGGTTAGTGGAGTTTGTTCTAGTCCAGCTCTGAAGCATCAGGGAGGCTGTCGGTGTCCTGTAGCTTTCTGTCTCTGAGGTGAAATCTGCTTCAAACGCAGCGCAGCAGGTCTTTCTCTCTCTCTCTCTGTACCTGTCAGGCCTTACCGCGGTAAAAGCTCTGATGATGCTATCAGAACAGAGCGTTCTTCCACTGTATTGGCGCGGGTCTGCTCTTGATACACTGCAGACAGCAGCAGAAAATAACACCAAACTTACTGTATAATCATACAGAGGTAGAATAGAAGACTTGAGAAAGAAGAAATCACTCCACATATCTTTAGTTCTCAATATCAAAGGTCACATGTCCATCAAACTCGGATATTTCAGCACAAATTCAATATGAGGGATCTATTCCGATTGCACAGATGTCAGCAAACTCAGGTCTAATGCATGTCTTCTGTGGTCTGATTGATAGTTTAGAGTGTTTTATCCAGTCAAAGCTCTTTTAGTGTAATTGTAGAAATGTCCCGCTTCAGCTGCTGCTTCACGAGTCTTTCTGCTCTCAAATCTTGACTGATTTTTATCAAGTAAACGTCAGAATAACTGCAGTCATATTTCCAGACTGAAGCAGCTCAGCTTTACTCGATTCTCCATCAATCATGTTTTAGAGTCTCAAATCTGATCCTCAGGATCTTTTGAGGAGCGTTTGTTTCCAGAAGCTTTACTTTCACTGTTCCTCAGCGGAGGAATGATCTTCACAAGCCTCCAGAACATCTCACATCTTCTGAGGAGCCTTTCTTTCTTCATATTTTTGCTCAGTTTGAATCTCTGAATAAAATTGTGCTGTTTTTTCTTTCACGCCCTCACTATATCAGACTATATGAGCCATAAAAGCCTGATATATCAAATATGATACTCAACAAAAAGTGTACACACAAACTTATTTTTAAAGGGGTCATATGATGCTTTTTTAAAGATCATTATTTTTTGTATTTGGTGTAACAGAATATGTTGACATGCTTTAATGTTCAAAAAACACATTATTTTTCAAATACTGTACATTATTGTAGGTCCTCTATGCCCCGCCTCTCTCAAACGCTTCTTAACTTAAATAATATGTCTGGAGCTAGGCTTGATCGTTTTTATACTGAAGCATGTAATAGGGGAAGATTTTTTAGAAATTCTATTTCGCCTACTTTTCTCTCAGATCATCATTATATTTCTATGGCTATTTCTGTTGAGTCCACTAAATCTTATAAATCACTCTGGCACTTTGATAACAGGTTACTTCAGGATCACTGCTTTATTCACACTTTTCACCTTTTTTGGAATTCTTGGAGAGAGGAGAGAGTAAATTTCCCATCTTTAAGTCAATGGTGGGACGTGGGCAAGGTACAGATTAGGATTTTTTGTCAGCAGTTTACTGCACATAGCAGGAGTGCCCTACTAGAGAAAATGAAAGCTCTTGAAGAAGAAATTCTTGGACCAAGCAGTCATAATACTACAGGCTTTATTTCCACTGACTCTTTTGAAAGGAATAAATTTCTTCTACGCAATTTAGCGGAGGAACAAGGCAAAACTGCCCTTTTAAGGGCAAAGTTCACTCGTCTAAATGATATGGATTCTCCTACTGCTTTTTTCTTTGGACTTGAAAAAAAAACAAGAGCGCATAAGCATCTTCATCAACTGAAAATCCCAGATGGAAGAGTATCAACAACACAAATGGAAATTAACTCTTTTGCTCTTTCTTTTTATGAAGAGTTATATCGTGCAGAGCCTTGTAATGGAGCAGAAGCTGACGTACTTCTGAGTGACTTACCACAATTATCAAAGAAGGATAAGATGGATCTTGAGAGTCCTTTAACAATGGCTGAACTTTCGAGAGCTGTTCAGGAATTGAATCCTGGAAAGTCACCTGGTTTGGACGGTCTCTCAGCCGAGTTTTATAAGGCTCTTTGGAACTTAATTGGTCAGGACTTCTATGATGTTTTGGTGGAAAGTACTGAAAAAGAGATCCTTCCTCTAAGCTGCCGGAGAGCAGTTTTAACTTTGATCCCCAAAAAAGGAGACCTTGGTTGTTTAAAGAACTGGCGCCCTGTCTCCTTGCTGTGTGTTGATCTCAAAATATTTTCAAAAGCTTTAACCAACAGATTGAAGAACTGTATAGAAACCGTTATTCACAACGATCAGTCTTATTGTATTCCTAACCGAACAATATTTGACAATCTTTTTTTGGTTAGAGACATTATTACAGTGGCAAAAAGACAAGAAATTTCAAAGCAGCTACACAGAACTAAAAATTTTTTTATTTTTTATTTTTATGTTGTTATTAAAATTATGTGTATTTACATGTATGCATTTGGCAGACACTTTTATTTGAAGTGATTACATTTTTATCAGTTCTCAAATGTGAATTTTGCTGGGAATCGATCCCATAGTCTTGCAGTTGCTAAAGCCATCATCTAATGCTTGAGCTTCAGGAAAGCACAGAAAAAAATGTTTTAAATAAAATGTATATATTTAACTATAACAATAACTATAATATACTGTAAAATTCAGATTTAGTAAAATACAAATGTTAAAAAAATGCAGCTTTAAAAGTCATGTGTTTTACTCATGGTTTACTGTTTTACCATTTTTTTTTCTTTATGTGAATTGTATTGAATTTATTTAGGGCCGTTTTGAGTCTCTGAGGTTGACTGTCTATAGGTCCAGTGTGGTTCTGTGTGTTTGTGACTCGGTTCTTCACGGTTTCTCAGGGTGATCAGTCGAGCTCCGGGTCTGAAGCTGGTGGCGGACGCGTTTGCTTCCTGAAGTCTTTGTTTTCCCATTCTTTTCCTCCATAAACATTACAAAATATTCTCCAATAAAGAGTTTTAAGCCATGAACCAAACCAGCCAGATCTGAACATTACACTCTTTCATTTGAAGAAAGAAAATTGTATAAAAAAGTTGTTGTCAAAAATGACAAAGATACAGACAGTGTATTAAAACTTACTTTGTATGAATTACTATCCCATGATGCATTGTGAATGACACCGTTAAAATCACAACAACAGTAGAATATATAACTAATGACTTACAGTAACTAAGTACCATATTTTCTTGAAAATAAGTAACGTAACTACAATTGCATCTAGTCAAAATTGCATCGTTGAGAGGGGGACAAAACTGATAATTTGACAGTTTATTATTACATTCAGAAAAATAAATGAATAAAATAAAATAAAAAAGAAACATTTATAGACTTTATGAACACTATAAACATATTTTAGTTCCTCTCACTCCACAAGAAGTCCTTTAAATCGAACAGTGTTCAGAATAAAACAAGACTTATGTTCCAGAATTTACAGTGCAAGTTTAAAAGAACATATTTACATTTTAATCTGTTCTATATTCACATTCATACAAAAAATATAAGTGGTTATAGATTGCAGAGAACTTATTCATGGTGCATCGTGAGAGTGTTTTCAAAATATTGAGTGGTTTTATCATGATTTTCATTTCCATGGTAATAATCTTGAGTGCATCTCCTCAGGATTATGAGTTGTTTCGTTAAGTATTGTTTTTAAACTCAAGTTAAACTCACGCTGACTGTCCGACTCACTATCAGCAAGCTCATGGTTCTCTGTCAGGAGAGATTTATTCGTTAGCTTTAGAAATCTGCTCTATCAGTTCAGTCCTGTGGAGGAAATGAATGTGATCTTGACTTCCTGCAGCTGATGATCTGCTGTGTGTTTGTTTGGTGGTTCTCTATTTCAGGCTCTGATGTCACTGTTTGTGTTGGCGTCTAAAGATGGTTGGGTAAATATCATGTACCACGGGCTGGACGCTGTCGGGATTGACCAGCAGGTAGAGAAACACACTCACACTCACACTCTCACACACACACACACACACACACACAGTCATAGACACACACACAGTCACACACACTTACACACAGACACACACAATATAAAAAAAAAATCAGCAGCACAACTGTTTTCAACATTGGTAATAATCAGAAATGTTTGTTGAGCAGCAAATCAGCATATTAGAATGATTTCTGAAGATCATGTGACACTGAAGA